GCATAACGCTGAGCTAACAGCAGTTTAACACAAACAGTCACAGCAGAAGTGACCTGAAGTGTGACTGGATGAGTTTGGCTTTAATGATGTTTGATTATGGAGCTGAAGGAGCGTTTGGTCGTGGAGAGGCCATCAGTCATGAGCTAGTTTGATCTGTTGATCAGTAGAGTCTCACCCGGTGTTCAGGTAGAGGGGTTTATGAGCATTGCATGACTGTTTTGTGCTGAACGTCATGTAATATCTGTGTGTGGCGTCTGCAGGAGACGTTTGAAGGAGGTTTTTGGCTCCAGATGGTGTAGTTGTGAATCATCTTCACCTGATCTGAACCAGAACACAGACAGACTCATGCTCCTCAGATGTTATATCACTGCTGTGGTTATGACTTCTTTCTGATCTAGTCATTTGACATCTCTTAATAAACAAGAATGGTTTATGTCATGTCACATCATATAGGAGAATGTAACTTACAACCATCCTTTACTCACCCTCATGGCATTGCAAATCTGAATGACTGTCTGCTAGGGCTGCACAATTCATCAAATTTCTAATCGCGATTACAATTACAGATGCCACAATTATGTAATCGTTCAAAGCAGCAATTAATCGTTCAAAGTCCACTTATGTTATTCTGCACGCTTAAGATGCTTCTTTTTCTTTCTACATTAGATTGTTTTAATATTAGTTTTAGTATAACATTATAATACCATGCATATTTTTACCTTTTTATTTAAAGAGAGACCAATCCGGTGTATAGTTGACATTTGAGGCTTAATACGATAGAAAAGCACTACAAGTTTTTCAGCTTGTTTATTTTCATAAAAAAATATGACATGCAGTTGCTTCAAACAAAGGTGTAAACATCATTTATTTAATCATAAATTAATAATCGCAATTACAATTTTAAAGGAATAATCGACAATTATGATTTTTGTCATAATCGTGCAGCCCTGCTGTCTACTGTGGAGCACAAAAGATGATATTCTGAGAAATGTCTCAGTGTTTCTTTGCCCATATAATGGAGTCCGAAAAACAGGGCGTTTTTCAGAATGTCATCTTTTGTGCTCCTCAGAAGGAAGAAAGTCGTACGGGTTTGGGACAACATGAGGATGAAATGATGACAGAATGATAATTTTGAGAATGAACTATCCCTTTAAAATAGTTAAGTATATTTATTATCCTACTGAACCACTAACTCACTCAAAGCATTAATTAAAAACAGAAAGGCTTCCGTCTTGAGCTACAGTTTCAGTGAAGAGCCCTCTTATAAAAAAAGATTTTTTTGGTTGTAGTGTTGCTGTTCTTTTGGAGAATAGTTATGTTTTCATTAGGTTCTTCAGATCCGTGCTGGGTTCACACAGTAGACGTTCTTCTGAAGAGAGAAACTAGACCATTCTCTCTCTGAAGCACAGCTCACTGCTGATGTTTCCTCTCTGACCCAGATGCACATTGTCATTGCTCTTCAGACGGCTGCTGGATTGATGCACAAGCTTTGGCATGTTTGTCAGGACGTCTTCTCAGCTGAGGTGGTGGTTTGTAGTTTTCCTCACGGATTGAGTGTTTGAGCCAGTGTCTGAACTCTCATCTGGCCAAGATCCGCAAGTCCCTGCCTTGACCTTTCACCCCGAACCCTTTACAGTTTCCTGAGCTCTTGACCTCTTGCAGATCTTTGAAGGTCAGTGTTGAGGATCAGTGTGGATTAAAGCCATGACCTCTTTGCGAAAGTTCAGCCAGAGATGACAATACACTTACGGAAATGAGCCGCAGTGAAACTCCAGTGATTGCAGTTGTACTAAGTAAGTGCAGAGCGTTGTGTGTGAACATGATCTTACTGTAGATCGAGACTAAATATCAACAGATTCAGTATTCCTCAAAATCAATAAAAACTGTGAACTGCAAACTCAGAGTATGACGCAAACATGCAATAACTGAATATGTTAAATAACACAAATATCCTATTTTATTAACCTATGTCTTTGCTGCTGACCTTTGATGATCCAATTCAACCACACTAATACGTAAAAATGACTTTAGATAAACGTAACATTTCTGTTTCCTTTTTTATTGCTGCGAACGGCAGCCCAGCTGAAGGTTTGTTTGAGCTGCGCCCTCTACTGTACAGACGGGATTTTACATTTTCTTCAGCCTGAGGCACATTCATTTCACTTTTGGTGTGAAAGGGCTTTTACATTTGCCAAAAACAGAACTTTTTTATATTAAAACAAACAAGCAAGCCCAGCCCAGATGAGAAAAAGTAATGCAAAAGTACCTCAAAAGTAACATAACGCATTTCCATTACAAGTAACTAACGTAATTAGTTACTTTTTGTGTGATTCACCCTTGTGTGATTAGAAATGACGTACATGACTGTCTTCTGTGCAACATTTGTGGAGAATCTTCTTCAACTGTCAAGCTCCAGGAAAGATTGAACTCTTCTGGAAAGGATATTCTGTCTTTGTTCTGTTCATTAAGAGCACTGAAGAGTGCAGAAGTGTGAAATAAC